AACTTATCCTTTTCAAATTTTTGCCCATGGACTTACTTGATACAAACTCCCAATATTCTGATCACAGACACAATATATCAGAATGGGATGACTTCATTCATAAAGATCTCTCGGTTAACCACAAGACGGAACTACATTCATTTATTCTGGCAACGACTGGCCGTTCATTGCTGTAATCCACGACCTGGCCGACACCGCCCAATAACAACCTTCTTAGACACTTTCCATTCACCATCCTCAGCAACATTTCCCGCACTCAACTCCGAACTGCTCTATTGTTCTCTTTAAGCTAGGATTGCTCTGGTCATGCATTCTCCATTTATACTATTTCATTTAATAGTATAGGTTATATTTTTAAGATGTTTTTATGAGTACTTTCATATAACACTCTCTAAATTTATCTTTTCGATCTAATATTGATGAAATACTTGCTGAAATTTGTACATGTTCCATAGACAAAGTCCAATTTCTGTTCCGATAATTTACTCTAATGTAATCACCTGTTGGACATAGACAAACTGTACTTCACTTTATATTTCATACATTCTGTTTATCTTTGCATCACCTGTAACTATGCATAAATTCTTCTAATAAACGATATTGCTAAAAAAAAAATAAAAAAAAAATTGCTGTAATTGTTGTGTTAACAATGTGAAATATGGCTTTCCATTCATGCCACCCTTGTACCCACTTTTATTTGTGCATACTCTGTGTGTCAATGGTTTGAAATAACCTTGACAAATTACATTAATGCACATTAAATTTCCTTTTGCCTGGATATTGAAAGCCTTTTGAAGTCATGTGCTATAATGGAATGATATTACAATAGAACTATTAATTTATTTCACAGTGTATGCTTACTGGGTAGTATGCATACACTGTGTATATCTTGTCATAATAAGCATCAAAGAGTATAATATAATAATATAGATAAACATACACATGGATGTTCCTCCAGCGCTGGTGCAGGTCTCCAATCCAGCACTGACTCCTCTGTCCTCCCCTTCTCTCATGTCCCATGGTGTCTGTGCAGGTGCATGCTGCTCCCTATACTTACCTTGTGTCTCTCCTTGTCTCCCGGATGAACATCTGAACTGCGCATGCGCCCACCCCAAGATCCTTTGCGGCCACCCAGGAAATTTTCAGATGTTAGGATGGGAGCGCTCGGGGGAGACACAGGTAAGTTTAAACCCTATGAAAAAGTTTTTTTTTATCGTTTTGCATATATTTACTGCTATGCAAAAACAAATGAGGGTTTAATAACCCTTTAAGTCTGTCCCATATAAGCAACAGTGGGCCTGTAATTCACTTTCAATACCAATAAATCAGGTTTTAGTTTATTGTAGTCACATTAAATGATTGGTGAGTGATTGCTCTTTTGCTATATTTTACATATTTAAATACTTTCTGTACTGATTCACTGAATAACCCAGCTAGAATGTCTCTCGTGTTATGCTCAAAGCCAACTTACACTTCATGAGCATATAGGCACTAAAAATAATGCACCAAACACATACTATACCCATAGCCACATCCTAAAGCCAACCTCCACTCCAACATATTTTTTGGTTTTAGTTAGAGTAGGGAGGGGAAGGGCTATGACTTTTGTCAGGTTGTTGCTGTCTCTGTCCCTGATTTCTCCTAGTAACCAAACAAAAAGTGAGAAGATCTCTTTAGTGGGGACAGAGACACTAATATCAAACTTGCTGCGCCTTTAACTCTTCTCCGCTTAACTTAACTAAAATGTTTTTCCCCCATTAGAAAGGTTTTGTTCACTTCCTTGTCTCAATGACCAATGAGGTAAAACAGGTACAGAAAAAGTAATAAAAACATGAGAGGTTCTAACCCAGTCTCACTCTGTCCAAAACTCAAAATAAAAGGACAAAGATTTGGCTACATTTGTACAATAAAGTGCATTTATAGCCCAAACTTTTTTTCTAGTTTTGGATAGAGTAGGGGAAGCTTAAAACCCCTGCCAGGTTATGTTTTTGTTGTCTGTGTACCATTGGGGGAACTTCCCATTAGATCCCTCTTACACAGGCTTTCCGATCAGGTCCACCAGTCAGTTTTTTCGGGCAGACCTGATCAGAAGCCCAATGCTAGTCTATGGGCAGTCTGATCTTAATGGATGGGCATCCATTTACATCCAGTTATTTCAAGCTCCAGCCGGGTCCAGAAAAACAAACAGTTCAGAGTTCCATTCCACTGGGCCTGATTGGGGGTAATCTGATTTAAACGGACACAAGTGCATTTTAAGCTGGTTATGCTTTTAGAATTTTTTTTTAACTCTTAGCCTAGACATAATATTGGAAGAAGCTTTATACTTGACTGCTACTGGTCTTGCATGTTGCATATGGTTCTTTGGGTCCATTTAAATATGACTGTATGTATTTTCTTAAAAACATAGTGTCCTATGAACCAATGATATTTAAACTCACTATGGAAGGATGGACAATTGATAGTGGCAGGTTGTGAACTGTGTGTTTGTAAGCCTATCTTTTTTCATTTGCTGCTAGGGTCTGAACACATATGCTGGCAGATCACAAAGTTGTACTTATTCATTTTCGATTTATTTGAAGTAATATCTCATGTCTACAATGGTTTGCTTTAGGTAGCATCAATTCACATACTGCAGTCCCTGCAAACCTCTGTCACCATCATCAGATAGTTCGATCTTTGAGAAATTTAGCTAGATGCACAGAGACAAAAGAAGAGAGAAAGAGAGATAGGAAGAAATATTGTGGCAGGGGAAGCATTTGAGTAAGAGAAGGCAGCTAAGGCTGTTTTATTACTTAGGCCTCTGTCACCTGTGATGACCCAGGAGAGTGGAGAATATTGATCGCTTGTCACTCATGGCATTCAGCAGATTGCATTGACAAAGCTTGTCAGGACTCTAATAGCAGGGTTAGTGGCCTTGGCTGCCACCCAAGGGGAAGCTCTACAATGCCTATTACTTGGCGGCCTTTAACTGTTATAGGATTGGGAGTGAGCACTGACAAAGCAAGGGAATAATTTTACAGTTACAAATACCATTTCTTATTCTCTCTTTTTTCTTCCTTTTTTTTTTCTTCCTGACCATTATTTGTGTTGCGTAGGCTGAGAACAAGGCGCTGCGCAAGACCTTAAGCATTCAGAGCAAGGTTATCAGGAAAAAGAAGCTTGGTGTATTGAACCAGAGCCACAAGCCTTTTCATCTTTCTAAAAACAGCATTAAGTGAAGCATTTTTCCAGATTACAATATTCTTAATCGGACAATGGAAGAGACACAAGTGCAGAAATGAGCCTGACAGCACACACCGTGTGAAACGCAGTTATCAAACCACAGCAGAAGTAAAATCATCGAACCATAACATATGTTTATTTTCTGATATGTCTAGTATTGCCCCAAATCATATTTAGATGAAAGTACTCTATACTGGATATTAGTTATTATTATCTTTCCTATCTCAGACTATGTGCAAAGCTAAGATTACAGTCACCAAAAAAACATAAAAATGCAGCACTGTATTCTTCGCTTAATGGTCTGTGCAAAAGCATCTGTGTTTGGAACAGACTGGAATTCCCTTTGTGGGCTATATACTCAGACAACAAAGCTGGGCATTCATTAAGGCACACGGGAGAGCCTGTAGACATTAAGCAAATTCCACAATACAGAGAATAAATAAATGTTGTTAAAGCAATCTAAATTACAATTTCAAATTTGATTTTTTTTCTGTACATATGGTATTGTTCATGTTGTATGAATACAGGTATTTTGGATTTAAAGATGAACAGAGAAGGAAAAAAAATCTCTTTATGCTGCCATCAATTTGTTCATACATACTATGTTGAAAATACACTGTATGGTATACTACCAAATCACCTGGCTTCCTGATGTCTTGTTATGGAAAAACCACAGCATGCCAGAGTAGTGAGTAACTGATGGTGATCATCACTAATAGTTTTTTTTTACCCAAATACCCTAGTGAGGGCTTCCGTAAAAGTAGGCAGACTGACTTATATAAAAACATATTTTGTCTGAATTGGCTAGTCATATTCTTGTTCAAGCGGTCATCATATGTTTGCATGCACTTCATGAACTTGCCTAAAATTCCCTACCTGAGCATTATCGGGAGTAGAATTGGTTGTCTCCTCTGGATTTTCCTGGCTTTTCCCTACTGTTTTTTTGCCAAGATAAACAGGCACTGTGGTGTCAGTTAAATGCTTGTTGTACCTTCTCTGTTGGGACAACCAAAAATGTTAAACTTTTTTTCTTTTATCAAAAAATATTTTGTATGAAAGATCATTGATCTCAAAATGCATGCAACTGCTATGTTCTGTCTGTTGGAAGATTAAGTGAATTTGTGGCTATGGACACAAGTATTTATAAATAATTCCTAACCCACAGTAAATTAGTTTTATAACAAGTACCTTATCTCTGTAGCTGCAGGCATTGTGAAGCAATTAATCCTCCAATCTCACTAGAGAAGCACTGAAGTCTTTCATGTTGGGACTTTGAACAGCGATATCTTCCTCTGCTTTCCTCTTCCAGAGTGCCTGCTTTGTGTTCATATTAGACATTTTAGTGGGTGTATTATGGGTAGGGGGGGGGGGGGGCAAAGCAATGGCTCAACAGCCTTCTAATCTAAACACAGAGCAATTCTCTGGGTAGGGGGGGAGGATGAGCTGAGCTGCTGAGAGAAAGTGCAAGTATGGTAGTAAAAATGACATAACTGTAGGTTGAACTCGATGGACTTTTGTTTTTTAAAAAGATCAGTGGGTCTAAAGAGGTTAACAGCAAAATGATATGCAAAGATTAGCTTCCTATGCAAGTCAGATTTGGCTCTGCACTCCTCCACCTCCCCAGCCACAATATTATCCTTTAATTTGGTAGTAAGCTGCAATGATCAACAGAGAGGTTCAGGAGGTGGTAAGGGGTAGGCATAGCTTATACAAACTTAAATATTTTGGCATATAACTAATGGAATTAAGTCCGCACTTTCTTAAAATGATCCATGAAGATCCCACTTCCTTGGTATAGACAATCTTTGAGTGCTGGATTTACTTGATCATTCATTGTTTCTTCATTTGTTCTCATGATTCAGTAGGTGTATGCAGGGGCATAACTACAAATCATGGGGCTCATGCCCAAGAGTCCTGCTTACTCTCATTGAGCTTTACATAAAGTATGTCTATATCAAGGACAGGTAGCAAGAGAGTTATCAGAATAGTTAGTGCCGTACCATGGACCAGAGCTGTGGACTGAAGTTTTTGGGAAAGATGGGGGCATCAGTGCAGTTAAATAACGTTTCATTATTTTGGTGTAGTCAGTAAAAAAGAAAACAAAACAAAAGTCATAGTAATAATAAGGACCATCATAATATTTTATTATGTGACATAATGGTTAGTAGTCCTGCACACAATTACTCATTAGCCCTAATACAAACTTTTTTAAACTCTATTTTTTCAGAACTACAAACAGCTGTAACTTTATAGCTGTTTAAGACTGTTAGGCATACAGGGTTAATTTCAGTGCTTGCCAGGATGACCAGAAGCTTGGGGGGGGGGATTAAATCTACCTTTATCAAGACAGCTAAACACATTCTCCTTAATGCCTGCAAAAGGGATCTGTGAACAGTGACAATGGTTTCCCCTGTACATCTGACATCAGCTCTTCTTGATTGTAAATGTCACAGGGGGTAAAGGATCATTGTCAACAGTAACCTCTGTAATCCTTATAATATACAGTACTAGATTTGTGTTATCTTTTCATGTACATAGATTTTCTATGTTTTAATTTCCTCAATAGCACCCCTAATGGGGCCTCTTTCCACTCCCAGGCCACACAGCACCCAGGTTTGCTGCTATAGTTATTGTTATGCAACTGGCAGTGACTATCTTAAAGCTCAGAGGGCTCAGTATGAGGTTTTTATCAAAGGTCAGACTTGCATTGTGTGCTGTGCTGCCTCTTTACCTAACACATCCATTGTCATGTACTAAATGTTTGTAAAAAAAAAGATGATAAATATTGTGATATTTGCAGAATTTTCCAAAATATATTTTTTATTAGTTTGATATACATCAATTCCATAAATCACAAAGACATACAAAAAAACAAATACAGTTCATATACTCACACTGCTCACCCCTCGTGAGCACTCACACTGCTCTCTCACCAGTGTGTCCACCAGGTCCCTTGGGTCACCAACCTTAATCAGCCTCCCCTGGCTGTTCCATGTGCATCCAACACGCACCCAAGTCTGCTTGTGGCCGTGTGCCTCCGGGACACCTACACACCACTGGCTTGGCTTGACCCTTGTGTGCCTCCAGCATACACCACACCAACTCTCCCTTGAGCTCTGGTCTGGGCTCTTAATGAGGCTGTGTTCAGCCCCCTGATCACTGGCAACACCTGACTTCAGGCTGGAGAAATATATATATATATTAGGGATGTCCCGCTACCGATGCTAGCATCGGAATCGGGCCCGATACAGGGCATTTTGACAAGTAATTGTACTTGTCAAACTGCCCCGATGCCTAGCGCCGAAGCTTGCGCTATGTTTTTTTTTTTTTCTTCTTACTTACCTCGCCGAGCGTCGTGTCACTGCTGCTCCGGTGGGCGGCGCTCTGAGCGGGGTCATCTGGCAGTCGCCTGGGTCCGAATTTAGG